ATTGTTTAGGCAAACTTTGTAATGATTCTCGTTTGTAAGAATGTATACAAAGTGTTTGATCTTTTGAAAATGTTTTCAAGTTTTGTAAGATGTTTTGAAAGTGTAGGTGTTTGTTTTGAAAATAGCAAGGATGTTTTGTTTTGAAATTGAGCAAGTAATTAGGATAATTCTACCTACTCAAAAGTCTTTCATGTTCATTTTCCTTTTTCTTTGACATTGTTATCTTACCATTAATTTGGTAAGTAACCCTATCTTTGGATGTAAACGGGACGGACGTGGGTCATCGTATAACCATGATTAGAAATATTGCAAAGTATCTTAGCATTCTCTTTTAGGGACTAAGATCATTTGAAAGGCAACATGGATAGCGTCATCGAGGGACTATGATCTTGTATTTTGCTTGTTTTTGCTAAGATACCTCACATGCGTAATATGGCTATTTAGTAAGGCAACCAAGTGGATTTTCCCTAGGGGTGCTTGTGTGCAAGTGTATTGATTTACATACATTGTTTTTGTCTTGATTAGGGTTTGCTATTTTGTTGGTTTTAGTCTTTTCATACAAAACCCTAATTACTAGCATTTGTATATAAAGCGATAAATTGCAGAATTTGAAATTATTACGCTATTACATCATTTAGGGAAGGGGGTATACAAATTTACAAATGGGGAATATTGCAAGAATTTAAATCAAAATAAATATTACAACCATATTGAATAAACGTACAAGAATTGAATAAATAATAATGTACAAATGTAAATGGAAAAAGAAATGATTTTTGTTGTTTTTATGAAAGGATTTAGTCTTGGCCTAATTAAAGAAAATGATTAATGAAAATTAAATAAAATTAACTTAAACTAATTAAGAAAAGAAATTAACTTGAAAATGATTTTTAAGATTTTTTATAAAAAGGTTTTAAATTAATGAAAATAAAATGAAGATTAATTAATTAAAATAAACCTAAGTTTTAAATTAATTTTAACTAAGAAAATAAAATAATATAATAATTTAACCTAAGTCTAAAAATTAATTATTTAAGAAAAAGAAATTAATTTGTTTAAGAAAATATTTTTAATCTTTTTGTTTTATAGAGAAAATAAAATATACAAGTGTAAATAATAAAAATATTTTTATATATTTTTATTAATAAAAATAATAATAATAATAGTAATAATAATAAAAATATAATAAAGAAAGAAAAAAAAAGAAAAAAAATAGAATAAGAAAAAAGAAAATGGGCCAGGGGTGCAAAAGTAGTCAGGGGTAAAAAAAAAGCAAAAATGGAAGGCCCATCTGTTTGGAGGCCCATCGTCTGTTGCTGAAACAAAAAAAAAATGTTGAAAAATGAGAAAAGGTAGCACTGGGTGTTGAACCCATGCCCTCAAACACAAACGCGCGCTACCTTTGTCACTGGGGTGGCTGTGCATCCGTTAACTTATCTGAAATAATAAATACATAAGGCAAAACAAGTTCCAGAAATGAACTTCATCTTCAACCTCCAGTCATGGTTCCTGTAACTCACTCATCTCTCATCCATTCACAAAACTTCCAACATCAAACTTGTTAGAAATTTCCTCACGATTCTGAATATGTAAATAACTTAAGCTAATTCTCAAAGATGAACATGAATTTTTAAAAGTACCAAATTCTGACCTAAATATTTCAGCAAGTTCAAACTCAAAATTCTCACTACTCAAGCAATATAAATGAAATCTATGGACATGTATAGTTTCAGGGCAATGATGTCTATATTTTATCTTCACAAATGCAAATCTAACAATGCCTAAATAAGAAGATAGAAGTTCAAGAAATATACCTCAAAACTGGAAATCGTGAAATGAGTTTGAGCTTGTTTCAGGCAGTGGTAATGATCAAGCTAGCTTCCTCAAGTCCCTAGGAAGCTAATGCAATGGTTTGCTTGAGTTGAGAGTGGCTGGAATGGCCTGGAGAAGTCAAGTTGCAGACTCTGTTTTTTGGTTATGGAGGTTATGGTAAATGGTGTTACAGTTCTGGAATAAGGATGGGGGTGAGTTATATTTGATGTAAGGAAGCTTTAGGAATGAATTTGAGGGAAAACGCATGAGGGAAATGAGAGATACAAGTTTAAGGTTAGAACTGTGTATCAATGGAGTTTTTTGTGTAATTTCTGGCTATAGGGAATTTGGGAGTGTTTCAGGGTGCTAAAACTCGTCCCTTAGCTCACAAATAGTGACTCTATTTATAAGCAACAAGTTTGGAGTGCTCTAGTTGGTCAGAATTCAAATTTACATGTTTAAGTTCAACATTTGATTTTTTTTGACAAAAAAAGTTTCTATGCCTTGTACTTGATTCACAGAGTGGTTATGCTTTAGAAAAGCTTGCTTCTGACTTTGTGTATGGAGTGTAATCATAGGGAACAAGTTAGAGGCTCAAGAATGGACTTTATGCAAAAAGCTTGCTTTACAAGAATGACAATGTTAACTTTGTGCCATTAATGAAAATGCAACTTGGATAATAGCTCAATTGCTTGGATCAAAGCCCTAACAGTTGTGTAAACATTTAAGTATGGAGTGACAAACAAGTTTGAGGCCTGTAAAGCAAAGATTATGCAGCCTAGCATGGATTTGGTTCATGTGTTCATCAAAAAAAGACTTGTAATTCAAGTTTGAAAACCCTAACTTCCTCTCTTCGATTCTCCCTGCTCAAGAATGATCTCAAGGAGTTATTGAACATTTTAGAAATATTGTAATGTTCTCTATAACCCCTCTTTGAATCACTTTTGAAAATTCCCCTTGTAACTATATGAAAAAGTGCCATGAAGTTAGGTCAAAATCCTACCAAATTAGAACAAAATTTCACTAAGTGTTTTTGTTTCATGACCATGTATTCTTAAAATTATAACTTAAGATCCAAGCACTTTTGTAAGTAGTTGTGTGAAGAAAAGTTGTAGATTTCATGGAGATCTACAACTTTCATGTTGGAAGTTTCTTTTGAATCATCTTGCATCATGGTGAAAATTTGGCTTAAAGTTATAAAAAAACATGAAGTTTAAACACTTAGGAAAAAAATTCTAAGTTAGAAAACTTTGACTTTTCAAAATGAAATCTTGACTTTTTGATTTCTTGATGAATAAGTTTCATATTTTGACATGTTTTGATGAATTATGATCTTTGACATTGAATTTTGACCAAAAAGTCAAAGTTTGACTTTTCAGTGTACAATTGACTTTTGATCAGTTGACTGAAAATTCACTATCAATCCAATTGATCTTGAGCAATATTTTGGGTCATTCCATTAGGTCAAAATTATGCAATTGAACTCTTGAAATCGTGCTTCAAACCAATTGACCATTTGCTAGGTCAAAAATTATAAATTATCCCTTCTCAGTCAAAACCTTAATTTTGACCATTTTGCCCTTTTGATGATTTGATCAAATTTCTTGGGAAACTATGGTGCAATCTTGATAAAATTATACATATGAGTTTATAATATTGATGTGGATAAAAAATTATGAAGTTTGACTGTAAATTGGCCATAGTTGACTTTTTCCCCAATACAACTGATTTTTAGGTCAACTGCTCAATTGACTAAGCAAAAGTGTGATCCAAAGCTTGAAACTTGATATGAGTAATCTTGAGGGTCCATAATGATCCATGAAAGTCATATGGGGCATTGCAAGTTCAAATATTCTTGTGCAATCTCAAACCCTAATTTTGGTCATCAGTGCTTAAGGAGGTGTCTTGAGTTGATCAACTCTAGTGCAGTCTTGAACCAAGAGAGATCTTTGTGAGAAAATAATTGATAAGTGAGAGGGAAAATTTTGGGGGTACAATAGCGTCCACAAATAGTTTTAAAACCTCCTTCTATAAATATTAAATCTTCTTAATTAACTAACAAAGTGCTTTTGCGGTATTTGTTAACCAAAAACAAACCAATTTTAGTCTTTAGTGTCAGACGACTTTTGATTTTACCCGACATTTTCACGGCTTCACTTTCGTGTAAGCAAATTCAAAATAAGTTCAGAAAAATTGCGTTTAAATCAAAACTACCCACAAAAGTGATCCTAAAGAGACAACATGTAGAGCATCGCCTATTGACGATCCTCATATCCCAACACTTAGTAAATTAGTCGGACATATTTATGAAAAATAAAACATAAACAATTTTAAGTGAAAAGGTAAACATAATGACAAATAAATAGATGAAGAAAATTAATGCAAGTAAATAAGATAGGAAAGTAAATGCAAGGCAAATAAAGTAAATGCTAAATGAATTAAAAACCTGCTCCAAACGGAGAATTGGATTTGGTACAATTGTGATAACTTAAAGTAAATCTTGACGGAAAGTAAACGGAAGAAATAAAGTGTTTGGAAATAAAATTTGTACAGGAGTGCTCCAAACTTGATACAAACTCAATTGCTGGCGCAATAATCCTCCGATGTGAAGAGATTATCGCTTTACAAATTGACAATATATGGCTTAAGTATGCATAAGCTTGGATGAATGAAATGGTGAAATGAATGGGGTATTTATAGGATTCCAAAAAAACTAAAAATCCTTGAAAATGATTCAAATTATTGGTGAGATTGTAGGACTGATTATGTGTACTCTTGGAGGCTAAGCAAGCTCGTTTCCAACCGTTTGGGCTTTACAAAGGATGACGACTGTCACGCCCTCACGACGACCGCCAAGAGGCTAAGCAAGCTCGTTTCCAACAGTTTAGACTTTACAAAGGATGACGACTGTCACGCCCTCACGACGACCGCCATGCTCATAAAGTGGACATTACTTGGCCATCTCACTAGTTGATGCGTGGACCACCCATGAAAGCCCTAGAATGAATGCCATGGGATAGCCATAGGTGCAAGCTAGCTCCATATCTTTGTTTTTCGCTTGTTTTCCTTTATTTCTTCGTACATAGCTCCCGATTAGTCAATTCGTGAACAAAGGAAAAACACCAACATAATATTGAAAATGAAAATAGAATGACAATAAAACAAATGAAAATCAAGTCAAATATATGATGTGTTTTAGTGTCATCAAACACAAACAACTCGCTGTCGTGCCGGAGGCGGCGGAGGTTCACAAATCGTCAGAAAACTTTCATTGTCTTCCTCGTTTTCATCTCCTCTTTCCATTTCCCCGGCCTCTATTCCTCATATTCTTATCTTTGCCCCCTACATCTAGGTAAACCGAAAACCCTAGCTAACTTAAAATCTGGAATTAAATGGTTACATTGACGAATTGGAGCATGAGACCTTAGGATTCTCATTCAGCACAACGAGACGCACGCCATGGTAACAAGATTGATGCAAAGGGATTGAAGAATTAGATAACGTCAAGACTTAACTACCGGAGCAATTTTTGGTGATTCTTCGTGGTCGGTGGAGAAAGCTTAGAAACTCAGAAACTCGAAGATCTTCAAGGTGATCAGGTAATAACAAGAATCCAATTTATTCTTCTCTTTCTTTGCGTGCCTCCTTCTTCTTCTTCTTCTTCTTCTTCTTCTTCTACACTCTTTTTCCGTTTCTCTGCGCGTGCTTGAGCTTGTTGTTTGTTGAGAGCGAGTACTGGTGACATTGCAGAGCTCTGAGTTGTGTGTGAGATTGAAGGAGAGAGTCAGTGAGTTGCAGAATATTGCCAAGGTTCTGGAGGTTAAGCTCCACTATCAAGAGCTTCTAATGGAGAAGCTCTCACAGTGATGATTCAGAGCGTATAGTAAGGGTGACTGAGGTAGAAGGAGATGATTGAGAGGTTGATGAAGATGGTGTAATGAGAGAGTGAGGGTTGAAATCGAGGAAACGGTTATGAGGTGGTTCAGAGAGTGAGAGAGAGAGAGTTTGAGAAGATGGAGAAGGGAATCTGAAGGTGATTGATGAATGAATGGTGGAGATATTTGAAGGTGGTTGAAGGTGAGGGAAGAGAAAGGATTATGAAGATGGTGATTGAATAGAAAAAATCGTGAAGGGAGTGAATGAAGAGGGAAGGTTGATTTATAGGAAGTTCAGTTGAGTGAAAGAGTTGGGAAGGATCAAGCAGAACCGTTAGATCGAAAGTTTGTTAGGGAATGAATGGTGAGATGAGAGTTAGTTAAGAGCCTTGAATTTCTATTAGGAATCGGTTAGGATGAGCTGGCAAATTCAGTTAGAGTGTTGGGAGTTTGTTGTTTGATTTCAGATTTCTCTCCTTGCTACTTTCCTTTGTGATTTAATATTTTATCACTATTTCTTATTTCTATTTCTATCCTAATTTAATGATATCCTCTGCCTTTTCTCTTTTCCTACTGAGTTGTTTGTTTTTCTTTTCTGGTCCTGAACAGATATATTAACTGCAGCCTACTGTAAGAGGCTTCATGGCACGGCATTGTCACCGAAATGTTTGGCTCGGAAGTATGAGACGAAGATGCTGGTTATGCAATTGGACTGTTAGGTAGCTATTGGTAAGAGTTACATGCCTTGGTTAATTTCCTCAATTTGCAGTACATGTTAAAAAGAATTTGAGCTGGAACCTGATCATTCAATAAGTCAGCTTTCGGTATTCTAACAAAATGCTCTTCTGAATTTTTAATGTTACCTCTAATGCGAAATCCTTGATTAAACTCTGTATTAAATTTGATCAGGCATAATTCTTGATTTAAACATAACCATAAGGATATAGTCAGCTTCACTAATTTCTCCTCCTGCTGAAAATCCACCGATAAGGACATTATAAGCAGCAACATTTATTTGTGTACACTTTTGAATCATCGCATTCCAAAGTCCAAGAGCCTGATTACCTTCCCCATTCTTAGAGCGCTTATCTATCAATACGACTGTATCGACTTGATTTGTTTGTTGCAGGGTATCTGTAGCTTGTGTTGAACCGTGATGAATGACTTGGTATAGAAAGACTGGAGTTGATTTTAGCATGTATGTATACTAATCTGTTTGCACTTGCAGCAGCTTTTTCCTTGAATGATGTCCCTGTTTTTTTGTGTTACTTATGTTGAGACAAGGTTTCGTACCCGTAACTGTCATGGCAGCCTGTTATGAGTATTCGGTTTGATGTCTTCGTGGCTACTTGTGATTTTGTTTCACATTTCATTGAACATGTTGCTGTTTTTTGAATGATGATGAATTGTATCATGTGTATACTGATGCAGGATTATGTTATGATGCAGGGCTTGATTTTGAATGATGGATGGTGATGTTCTGGGCATGCTTAATGCAGTAGGTGTTCATGGTTTTGATTCATATCTTGCTCTGTTTTGAATATTGATGCTTTTTCCTTTGTTGTGAGAACAAGTGTAGAATTGACATGGCTAAACATTAAAGCGTGTATGTACATAATGCATGGCTGTTTGGGATTGTTGAATGGTGCAGGTAGTAATGGCATGGTCAAGATGATTTTAGCATGGATGGAAGCATAAAGATTATGGTGATAAAATGATGATAAAATAGGATAACCATCAATATGCCTAAAGTAATTTTTCTTGTAGGATATTCTTCTTAGTTGGAAAGTTATACTTGTAATGGAGGTTTTGAAATGGTTTTTCTTTGTGATACAATCTTGTAATTAATGATATTGGGATGTTTGTGAAATATGTAATTTTGAATCACTTCACCTTCCAATATTTCATTAGGATTTTCACCTTTTAATGAACGTCTTGTATGGAATCCGATAGTATGAAATCAATGGCATGGTTTGAAGGATTGTAGCTCAACCTTGGATTTGCATTGATTTGAATATTTTGAATCAACAAAATGTCGTGGTTCATTGTTTTGAAACCTTGTATGGTGTTTGAATGACTTGCATGATCTTGAATGAATAGTGACCATAACGATGTATGTCTTTGTTACTTGAATCCCAAAAATTACATAGGTGCATCTTTGAATCAACCTATTCCAAATTGAATTACAAACGACCTTAACCAAAATAACTCCCATAAAAAAACACCTTGCTCACAAAGAATCCATAATCACATATCTTGCCATTGTTCATGCTTTGTAATTTGATCCACAAGGCATTCTAGCTTGATAACCAATGATATTAAAGCAAATGCCTTGAGTAAAACTTGAAACCGAAAACGAAACCATGGAAATAAGTATGCTCAATAAAACAATTGTAATGAAACCATATTCTCGTTGATCTTCAAATATTGAACATTATCCAACTCAAATCGCAAGGATAAGAAAACCATAATTCTTTTGCGTTGAACACACCTTGAGATGACCCTGTAATTTGAGTAAAGATGAGAAAGAAGTGCTTAATGATCATGAACACAAAACCTCAACCATGATTGATGAATGAGCCGGTTGAAACAAGCTTGAATGAAGATGAGAGCCTAAAAGTGCAGAGAAACCTTAATCCCTCCATATCCTTGATCCCACGCCAAATTTATTGATTAATGAACGCATGCAATGTTAAATGACTTAATGGAAGGTATGTAGATGAATGCAAAGACTAATCTAGATAAAGGTAAAAGGGTAGGACAAATTTGGGTAATGACAAACACCAATAAGTTACTTTTCTTAGGCTTTGTTGTTGTTGAAGAAGGGTTTCTGATTGATGAAGATAAGGTGAGTGCTATAAGGAATTGGCCTGCACCTAAATTCGTGACAGAGGTTCGTAGATTTAATGGTTTAGCCACCCTCTATAGGAGGTTTATCAAATATTTAAGTATTATCATTGCACCTATTACTGAATGTTTGAAGAAACGGAAGTTCAATTGGGAGTTTGAGCAAGAGCAGAGTTTTGCACTGATTAAGGAAAAGCTATGTACTGCACCGATATTAGCACTTCCCGATTTGACAAGGTGTTACAAGTTAAATGTGATGCTAGTGGAATAGGAATAAGAGCTGTGTTATCTCAGGAGAAGAAACTTGTATCCTTTTTAAGCGAAAAATTAAGAGATGTCTGTCAGAAATGGAGTACTTATGATTAGGAATTCTATGCAGTCTTTAGAGCTCTACGTTAGTGGGAATATTATTTGGTTCAAAGGGAGTTTATTTTATTCACTGGCCATCAAGCTTTGAAGTTTCTTCATATCCAGAAGGTAATAAACAAGATGCATGCTCGGCGGGTGAGTTTTCTTTAGAAATTTCCTTTTATTATTCAACATAAGTTGGGGGCTCTTAACAAGGTAGCAGGAGCATTGAGTAGGAGATATTCCTAGCTAATTACCTTAACGCTTGAGATAATAGGTTTTGAGTGTCTGAAAAAGTTGTATGAAATTGATGTTAAGTTCAAGGAGTTATGGGATAAGTGCAGTGAAAAACATCCTTATGCATATTTTCATATTCGAGATGGTTATCTTTTTAAAGGGGATCGATTATGCATTACTTTCTCATCTTTAAGAGAGAAGTTAAATCAATATCTACATGGTGGTGGTCTTAGCGGTCATCTGGGTAGAGATAAGACCATTGTTACCCTGAAAGAGAGGTATTATTGGCCACACTTGAGGAGAGACGTTGGTACTATAGTCAGGAGGTGTTATAATTGTCAGATTTCTAAAGGCCAGTCTCAAAATACCAGTCTTTATATGCCTTTACCTATTCCTGATGATATTTGGCAAGATTTAGCCATGGATTTTGTGTTGGGCTTGCCTCGTACACAACAAGGTATATATTCTATGTTCGTTGTAGTAGACAGATTCTCCAAGATGATCCATTTCATTACTTGTAAGAAGACTGTTCATGCATCTAACATAGCCAAACTGTTTTCTGGGAGGTTGTGCGTCTTCATGGGGTTTCTAAGTCAATCACTTCAGATAGGGACATCAAATTTTTCAATCATTTGTAGATTATTTTTTGGAGATTGTTTGAAACCGTGTTGAACAGAAGTTCTACAACTCCTCCTCAAACATATGGACAAAATTAGGTAATCAACAAAACTTTGGAAAATATGACAAGCCGAAACAGTGGGATTTAGTTTTGCCTTTGGTTGAATTTGCTTACAACAATGTTGTGCATTCAGCTACAGGGAAATCACCATTCTCTTTGGTCTATACTTATGTTCCTAAGCATGTGTTTGATTTGGTTAAGTTTCCTAAGGCGCTTGAAGTTAGTGGAATATGGCCGAGGAAATGGTGACTGTTAAAGAAGTTGTCAAGGCTAAGTTAGAGGCTATTGGGCACAATAATAAAGCAGTCGTTGACAAATGCATGAGAGTCAAAATTTTCAAGATAAGAGACAATGTGATGTTATTTATGTGTAAAGAGAGGTTCCCAGTTGGTACTTAAAGCAAGTTACAGGCACACAAATATGGACCGTTCAAAATGATATGAAAGATCAATGGATGCTTATGTGGTAGCTCTCCTAGATGTCATGAATATATCCAATACCTTTAATATTGCTTACATTCATGAGTATTAAGCAGATAAGGCTCTTTATCAAGAAGAGAACTCAGGGTCGAATTTTTCATAGGTGGAGGAGACTGATGTAGGAAGGTTGGATGCGCGTATCAAAGAAGAAATTATGCATCAGAAATCATTTTAATATTTAAGCATTTTTTTAATATTTAAGAAATTTCTATTTTATTTGTTTTATTTAATTTTGTTTTGGCTTAAAGGCCCATAAGGCCCAACTCATTAGAGGTATTTTGTTTTAAGTATTTATAGACCTTTGGCGTGACCATAAGGATTATCTTTCATATAATAAAATTTGAAGTTTTCTTTATTCCTGGTGGTCTTCATAACTTATCTGACAATTTTCGCTTGCAACCCTATTTTTATTCTAGGTTTAGCACTTGTTATTCCCTAGGGCTTCTAACTGCATCAAAAAGATTACAATTCGATTTGTTTTAAGTCATTTCCCTTAAAAATAAAATTGGATTAAAAGGGGATTAGCTGAATATAGATCCGTTTTATCCTCAAGTGTTCATATGCAAGTCGTATCACTTGCTTGTTATGACACTCATCTTTCTCCTAAAAACAATCACAACAAACCAACATATAATGTTTTTTTCGCTTTTATGCTATTAAATATTTTTTCCTATTAAAATCAACCAACACACAAATATTTTCTATCCCAAGAACTATGTAGAGTTGAATTCTCTATTGCACCGGGAGATACGTATGAGCAAGAATCAAATCCTGTCAAACACAATAATAAAAAAACAGTATCCCCTTTAACGCTTTATTTCTTGTATGATGATTAAGAGAAAATCGATATAATAAGGTTAACAACATATTTTTGCAAAATTAAATAGAGGTAACTGTTTTCTAATACAATTGTCATAGTGTGTTAATATTTTCCCTATGCGTAATTGACTCATGAACCTAAATTTGGTTGCAAAGACCATATTTTTTTTCTTTAAAGGTTTTTTCAATGTTTTTCCTTTTCAAATACAATTTGGTGGCGACTTCATTGCTTTCGAGCATGGCTCGAATATTTTTTGCATTGCGTCAGATCCATGCTCCAACCAATATATATGTATGAGGAGACAACCATGCGTCTTTCACATAATAAATTAATTAACTACAATCAACACATACCTAATCAATTTGTTACAACCGTTGATGATACTCCACCTAATCATTGGCCCATACAAGTTCCATCTTTAGTGTGTATATCACATCTTGCTTGAACTTTTTTTGTTGATGTGAAATCGATAAAGTAAATTAGTCGTTCTTGGAAACATAAATTCAATTTATTTCATCAAAGAAAGATATCTATCAATTGTGGATATAAACATTCTTTATTAAATAATTGTTTCAACTTATCCAATATCCAACAAAAATTCTCTATATGCTCATATTCGATATAGACAAATGCAACAACAAATATCAACTCAGTTGACGTCATATCCATAATTTAAATCAAAGGTTGCCTATATTTATTTATCTTGGATGTGTTGTCCATAATCAACAAAATAGGAAAAAATATTCA